CGACTTGAGACGAGACTTGCATAGGGCGATAGACCCGCTATTGTAGAGATGTGACGAGCTATTTGATAAACTGTGGAATAATTGTGCTTCCTTTACGAATTTATCTCGCTTGTGCATTTTCATCGAAAAGTTTCTTTAAATTTCATAACTCACACGTATATTCGTGAGTGGGTTCAAGGACCCATTAAAGTATTATATTCTCATGGGAGCGGGCAGTTCGCCTCGGCAGTATAATAGATGCATCTATGGTTCGTGTTGTTCGGCCCACGGCAGTGCACATAGTATGATGGGATTGGGTCGTTCGCCGTGGCATTTTTATAAAACACTCTTTGGATCGGGTCGTTTGCCTCGGCGGCGGCGTACGTAATATCTGACAAGAAACCAACACATCCGTGTATTCTTCCTGATTTGAGTTGTGATGACCTATCTGATGAGGTCCATTCTAGATATACTCCGGTTGAGGAGGTAACTGCTTAGTGAGAGCTTGAGTTTACCGTTCTGAGGAGGACTCTACATCGTATTTATATTTGTTCATATTGTTTATCTACTCTACCCCATATTTGTTTACTTCTTACTGTATCTGTCTTATTGGATTACTAGTAGGTGTCGATGTCAACCCCTAGTCACTACTTCTCTAGGGTTAAGCTAGATATTTACTTGGTACGCATTGATTTACATACTTATGCTACACTTTGTGCAGGTATACACACACACACACACACATACACACACACACACACACACACACACACATATATATATATATATATGGTTGGTGGACTTTTGGGCGCATAGGTGCGGCTGTTGCGGGGACTTTACGGTGAGCTGCATTCCATGTTACGATCCGCAGCATACAGAGTCTATCAAAGTTATTTATATTCTCCTGTCTAACTTTTATTCCAGACAGATGTTGTATTATTATTGTACTCCTTAGTAGATGCTCATGCACTTGTGACACCGAATTTTGGAGGTTCCTACTGGTTGTTCATTATTGTAGTTCACGTAATTATTGTCATTTCACCATGTAATTTTTATTCTAGACTATTCAATTAATGGAAATCATGATTTCAAGAGTAATGTAGTGAGTAATTAAGTTGATCAATCACTGTTAAATTGCTTGACGGCGGCGTTAGGCACCATCACGATCTTTAGTGGATTTTGGGTCGTGACAACTTTTCTCATTTGCGTTTTTTGCCTCCTTTGTCTTTTGATCGTTCCTTGGTTCAGTTCTTTCTGTCATATCAATATTCTCTTTTTCTTTCCCTTTCTTGGATTCATCCTCCTTAATTTCAGCTGCTTTTTTCCTTTTTAGAACCCAACAATTGAGCATATTATGTCCAAGCTTTTTACAATGCTTACAGTATTTTGGTATTCCCTCGTACTCCAATTTTTGGACAAATCCTGTCTGTGGAGAGTTTTCATATATGCAGCCAAATAAACATATTCAGGTTGAGGCTTTAGGAGGTCTATTTCAACTATAACCTTGGCCATGCTTGGCCTTGTTTCCCCCCTAGTTGCCAGGTCCATTTCAAGGGGTGTGCCAATTTCGCTCACCACTTGTTTGACATAGTGCCATGTGTGCATGTGAAAAGGAAGACCATGGAGAAGAACCAATACCGGCGCAATCGGAAGGTCTTCTTCCGGCTTGAAGTCAGGTGACCATCTTTGAAGCCACATTTGTTGCCCTTCAATCTCAATAACCCGCCTATACCAGATCGTGTTGAAGTCATCCTTGTTGGTGAAATCCAAGAACACATTGTAGTTGTCGTAGACTCCAATTTTGACTGAGCCTTTTTATCAGTTCTTTGAATTTCGACCTTAGGCGATCGATTTGGGCCTAGGTTTTAACAATCTGCCAACTATAGTAAGCTTGCACTCTGCCGCCATGATTCCATAGTAATCTGATGCCTTGAGTAGAACCGAATGCATTCCATTGTGGTTGAGTGTATGGCCTTCACAGACTCCCGATTGGGCCGATGAACGGGTGAAGTTGAGCCAGAGGTTGTAGCGATTTTGGTGGCATAAGCGTGTTTTTCTACGATTCCCTTTTGGGGTAGGACCGTAGTTAAGAGGAGAGTATTTTGCCCATTTAGATGCGCCGGAGTGGCGCCGTCCGGCGGGTCCATGGGGGTGGGGCATGGAGAAAACGCGCTTGACTAGGGGTCCGTTGGGGTTTTCCAGAGAGAGAAAAAAAAAGAGCCATTTTTTGTTATAACCGGTCCCGAAAAATATGTTCAATTCACGATTTGACTCACAAGAGGAGAATGACTATCCACTATAGAGTTTTTGATCTTTACATCTACTCCTTAGCAAGAGGTTCCTTCAGCTATATAGTGAACTTTCCAATGACTACACCAACTCAATTAATATATTGTCATAAATTTCAGCACCAATTTTAGCGACATTGTGGAACTTCTTTCCCTCATATTCGACAAGATGTTTCATAACAAATCTATCTAATCGCCAAGGTCTTTCATCTTTAGGAACAAAGATTTCTTCAGGCGCTCCTTCTTGACTCCATATTAGACTTCATCATGTCCCGTTTTCATCCATGATATTTAACCTAAAAATAATTTTTATGGTCAACCATATATAT